ATTTGGTATTGAACATGACCTAATCATATAGATATACAAATTAAATGACATAATTGCAATGGAGGATATAAGAAAACGTGTCCGATCTGGTAAAGATGAAAATCAATATATATATGTATATTTACTTCTCTATGAATGTTTTATTATTATGTTTTTGGGAATATAAAACAAAGTATATTGGGGGCATTGTAGAAATGAGTCTTTTATTTTGAAACTGGTTTAAGTCAATTTTTGGTTTTGATACAAATATATAATACCACTTCATAATATTTTTGAACCAAGCCCAACATATAAGAAAAAAATGGAGTTAACATATTTTCAAAATAAACGACTCAAATAGTAAAATCGCGACATTTGTCATTTGAGCTAGAGAAGACGAGGAATACTCTGTCACTTTCCAAAGAAATGTTGGAAAGTGAGAGAGAGGGAGAAGGAAGTAAAACTTTTATAAGCAAATGTATATAATAATCTGGGCTATGTATACACCTACCAACGTATTTATAATTGTTTTTTTTTTGCTTAAATTTTTTAGACTTTACTAAAAGCAATATGCGTTTTTTCAGTAATAAACATAGAGAATCATTTAAAGCAAATATGTGATAGCTTAAAAAATGTGTTTCAAATCCAAAATAATGTTTGTCAGAAGTGGGATTTGAACCCACGCCTACAGAGTAGACTGCGACCTGAACGCAGCGCCTTAGACCACTCGGCCATCCTGACTACTTGATCATGAAATTCAATATGTCATTGAATAAATTCAAATCGATTATTCCAATACAATTTTAAAATGGAGAATACACTTTATTTAATATCCAAGTGGGGGAAATAAGGGTCGTTAGAACAAACTTTTGGTAATACATTTTCGCATTCTCGCTTACACCCAACACAACATTCAATATATCGAATATAAACTAAATCTAATGAGAAGATTCAAATTAAAGTAAAGTAGATATCGGTACACTAAAGGGAATCTTATATATTCATATGTTTCTATAAAAAAGGGTGTGCAGATAATTCACTGTTCTCTTTGGAAAGGTTAAAATTGTTTAATCAGATTATACCAGACTTTCCATAGCTGGTGCATATAAGTGTTTCAGATTATATTTTTATGCTTTTTTTTCCCAATTTTAACACTTGAAAACTTTTTCCCAACAGTGTAATTTAATTTCGCTAATACATACTTCACGGTACTCAAGCTAATTTCTGCCTAAATGTTATAAGTACAATATGTTGTTTACATGTCTCACTTCGTTGACTAGTTGTGACTTTTGTCGTGTTCTAACTTCCATACACTATGGCATGTTCTCCTTAGCCTTTGGCAAAACAAAATGTTTTCCACATTTGGGAAAATAAACAATAAACGACGGCAAACACAAGATACCCGATGTAGAAGAAATGTTGCATACTATCTGACTGAATGTGTTTAGCATGATTTTGTTGCCTACACTTCGTCTGAGTTGGCAGTAAAACTTGTATACATTGTACGAGTATTTAGAACAATGAACCATGGGGAAACTTGATCGGTAATAGGATGAGATACCTCCTCATACACACGCAATGATGAGCAGGATATCTGAACAAATACCATTAAGCAAAATCACACTTCAGGCTGTTTCGCGCATTAGATTCAGATAAAAGAGTTTGTTCGTGTATTCGGAAAATCTTATAAATCTGGAATTTGAAAGGCGAACGGATGTTTTATTTGGAAACGATATAGCTGCTGGATGATTTCTAGAATTTCGTTTGGAGGGTTTCCCATTATGCCATAAAATTTTAAATATCATAAAATTACAAGCAAAAATGTCGACATGGCGAACAAAAAATTGTGTATTCCATAAAAACTATGTATATTTTTTATGCAATAAGAATTTCTGTTGCTGTTACGGACGCCATTGCTGCTTGTGGTTTTGTTTTACGTGGTTGCAGTTATTTGGAAGGCGTTGCTATTTCTGTTGAGTAAAAACTAATTGGTTTTCAGCTATTTTTTTATGTCTGCTTTAGGCAATACATTTTCAGTTTAGTTCGGTGTGCTTTTATTTTATGGCATACTTTTGGGGTATGGGAACGTGGAGTTTGTTCCATGTATATGTCTGATAATGCCGTAAGCTGTGCTTGCTGTATCAAATTCTCTGTTGCAGTACACACACATACCCACATATGTATTTGCATGTTCAAATTTGTAGAGAGGTGTTGATTTTAATAAAACTTTGCGGTTTTTGCATGTGGTGATACTGTTGATTTGCATCTAGTTTTTTTTGTTCCTAGCACAGCTCCAAGAATTGACGCATAATTTAATTAACTGACTTTAAAATGCAATGTGAAATCCACTTTTCATAAATGAGATTTGTAACTTATAAATGTCATGCAAAACAGTCATGTGTATTTAGGCTAATGAAACCGCAAAATTATATTTATTTATGCCTGGAGCATACCTTTTGGGCTCGGCGTCAGCTGTGCTGAAAGTGTTAAATAATTTAAATTAATCTATTTTAGCTTATGAGAAATTATGGAAGGGAAGGGATCATATACAAGATGAGTGCAATATTGAAGTGACAATATTAGAAATGTGTGGCAAAAAAGCTTCGAGTTTGTTGGATATACAGGTATGAATTTCTCAGAGAGATCACAATTGACTGGCTAAGAATATTGCAGATCACATTGTAATATACTTATAATTGTTGTGTGCACTATTTCGATTTTATTTATTTATATTTTTTATGAAATTTGTTTCACATGTAATATATATTAACGTGCATGCTACAAACATTTGTAACATTTATGGTACCCTAAAGAGTTACACAATTTTCTAGTCTTATTTGGATATTCCATACAGGAAAACTAAACAGTCACAAATGACCCAGAGAAGAAAATAAAAACAAATCTTAAAGAAACTTCTACAACTGTACAATTGTAGTTGTTATTCTCGAAGTGTTTTACCATCTGTATCTTTTGCATATGCTTGTACGGAGAAATCTATGTATTTTTGAGTATCTGTATCATGTGTCTTGTAGTACCAGATAACACTTACGATTAGACTAACAACGTTCTCAAGTACGACCAGGACACATTTCCAACTTGAACGAACGAACACATAGTTGTTAGTTTCCTTTTGCTGTCGTTTCTGTCTTTACGTAACGATGATTCCTCCTTACCAAGAAGTTGTTACCTAATGTCTCTACTGTATGTACAATTTTGTAAAGAAATCTAGTGATGTAGATTTATCGAATAATATTACGATTTAAATTTCAATGGAAAACTAAAACTAACACATTTTTCCTCGTAAGTTCGGCCTGCCGAATTCGGAAATTCACATTCGAATTTTTTAGCCAAAATCAATGTACAGTAGTATAACCGACCTGGATGTTTTTACCCTTTTTTGCCTAACAATTATATGCAAATAAAATTGTGTAGAAGTGGGGGATGAACAACATCACAAAAATGAGGCGAGCTGAAAATAGTGAAATTATCCATATATGCATCTTCAATAGTTTGCCTCATTCTTAACCCGTTATTCTTTTAATTTATTGTACAACACTAATATCCTTCAGGAATGTCGTAGACAATACGCAATGTATCTATAATCTATGTTGGAGAGCAGAGAAATATTTTGCATAAGTTCTTGACGTTTATATGTCTTTATTTTATGAGCTTCTCAGCAATGCATATTTTCTGTTATCGTTTTGTTTGAGATGATTATTATGATTGCAATGAGAATTAGACATGTTCCAATAGTCGTATGGAATACAATGCATGGTAAGAAGAAAAAAAGACACTAAATATTATATTTTGAGAATCAACGTGGAATTCAAATTTATTTTTTTGAACTGAATTCAAATATTGTAAGTATTACAATAATGGGACTAAGCTATAATGACAAATATCCTATGCAAACTAAACTATTTGTGTCTTCATTGTCCTTACAAAAAATGATTATGATTTTATTTACTGGAAAGTCTGGAGTCGATATACTATTTTTTAAATAAAAACAATTAATAATAGATAAATTAATATAACATAAAGTCATCTAATTTTGAATAGAACTTAAATTAGCACAACATCCCAGGTCACAAATTTTCCGAGGGCTCTGATTTCAGAACTTTTTCTGAGCATTCTGTATTTTGGTGAAATTGGGCCGATTTTCTCTAAGATTTTATTTAGAATTTCTGCAGGATTTGCGGAAAATCTGCACATTTTCGTAAGAAATTCGAAAAAATATCCCAAATTGGGGTGGGTTTTATTTTACGAAGTAGGCGTAAATCGTTAAATCTCAAAATATTTAAACTCTCTTCTGTATTTCGTCCGATTTCCTTCAAAACAATTCGAATTGGCTATTTGTTCTGAGATTCCATTGAATTTGGAAAAAATATTACCCGAACATACTCTGTTTATCCCCCTTTTGCAAGTAGGTTACTTATTTATTCATTCGCTGTAACTAAATGAAACTCCATAAGAAACGAAAAGAAAATTGTATGGTCTTACAATATTTCAACATTTTGGGAATTTCAAAAAAAAAACGAGTGATTATTCTGAAGAAATTATATGATAGAACTACATATTTCTTATTTGAGTAGACAAACATATTACCAGAGAAATCCATCGTATTTCAATAATTTATGAAATATTTGTATGAAGAACGACTCATTTTTTTCCTTTTGTATTATTTGAGAACACAAAATCAATATCAATTTATTACCATAAATGCGTATACGTAATTGAGAATGAGTGGTTGTATTTGTTGTGTTCTCCTCTCTTGTTGTGTGATGTCTATTTTTGGCACAGCGTCAGATTTTTACGCTTCATTCATTTATCGTTTATTAGCTGGCTGAATGAAATCGTTTAGCGCTTGTTTGGATCATTTGTTCTGTTGTGTGTTCGTTCATTCTTATCTAGATGTACGTACATTCTGTGGCTATTGTTGTTGTTGTTGCTGTTTTGGGGTGATTCTAATTGTATTGTTATGTATACATACTTATATGTGCGTGATCGCTTTGCAGAGGTTGGCCTCGGTGGCGCAGCTGGTAGCGCGTAAGCTCTTACACACTTAAGGTCGTGAGTTCGAACCTCACCCGAGGTGCTAAGTTTGCAATATGATATCCGTAAATTTTGCAAAAATTCATAAGAAATAGTTTTAAATGTAAATATAAATTGTGTTTGGAGAAACCAAGGTGTATTTTTTTATAATCACATTTCGATTTTAATGATTTTTCAATAGGCTGGTAAATGAATACCAATGCTTGTTAAGGTTTGTAACTTTGCACATACAGTGGTGGTCAAAACATATGCAACGGAAATGGAAATATGTTGTAATTTTTTAATTGAAGTTACAAAATAGGTCAACTTGGTATTTTTTCAATGCTTTAGGTTCAATTGAAACTGTAAACGTAATTTTCCCCAGATTTTTTTTTGTATTTTACTGAAAAATGTATTGATAAAATGGATAACTTGATTTTAGCTGCCCAAAACATATGCAACTCTGAAGAATTTAAAAAATATCATTATTTTAGGTATCATCGTTTGTATTTTTTCGCAAAGTTTTAGTTTACTTGAGTATTGAGAGATAATTTTTATAAATATTTAATAAAAAATGTAATATACGGTCACAGACAACTAAATAGAAATGGCAAGCGATAAGTTAGGTTTGGGGTTGATAAAACGCATTGTGGGTAATTAGGAAATAGAAATGGCAAGCGATAAGTTAGGTTTGGGGTTGATAAAACGCATTGTGGGTAATTAGGAAAACTCATTATGGCGATTGGAATAAAATTAAGAGAGATGTCTGAAGAGTATAATGTCCCCAGAAGTTCACATATACTGAATAAGTGAATAAAGTCACAGTCCATGTGTCATTGACCCATCTATGAGAAAGTCCACTAAAAAAGCCATCGTACTTATAATGTGTTCATGCAGATGGTCAAAAACAATAATTTATTACAGCTCCCAACTAGCAAAAGTCCTTCAAAAGTAAATATAATAGGTTGTACAAAGTTTGTCTCAAATCGGACATTCCATTCGCCCGTTCTTCGATTTATAAATGTTGAAAATTTTACCATTTGTGGGGTAGATACCAGAAGGAGTGGCCAATGGGTCCCATCTTCGAACATGATCTAGGCTTGGTAAAGATAACAGGTTGTACCAAATTTGGTTAAAATCGAATATGTCGTTCCCATCATATTATAAAATTAATTTTTAGCACAATTTTGACCATTTTGTGCGGGAGTTGCCAGAAGGAGTTAACCGGTATTCCTCATCTTGAAGTAAGTTTGGTAGAAATATGACGATGTGCAAAGTTTGGATGAAATCGGTTACTCCCTTCGAGCGTAATCATGTGTACCAGCCGACTGAAACGGATTAGGCCCAAAGAAACATGGGATCTAAAACCAATGAGATACATTTTTGCCGTATCATTAGCCATAAGGCTGAAGGTGTAACAAAATCCGAGAATGGAGGGTCCCCTTAATAATATCTTTACTCAGAAAACTTTATATATTTATATATATATATATATATACTTTTTATAAATTGTAGAATACGAAATAACGAATTGCAGGCAACACACAAGATTGTTGGGTTGTACAAGAATGAAGACAAATGCTAACAATTTCAAGCAGTTTCTCACTGACTACTTTTCAATGTCAAAATTCCTAAAGCGAAAAAATCTGTAACATCCTTTGAATATTGCAAAATATAAAGCAATAAGATATTTTAAGTGTTTCGAAAGACCTTGTAAAATAAAACTGAAAATATGTCGGAAATGAATAAACATACATTTTTCCTTTTGATAATTTTGGAGATAATCTCTCCTCTTTCTATTCTACATCTACCACAAAGTCCTGCTTAAAATATGAACTATTTAACAAAAAATAGGATTATCGGAATTTTAATCATTCTATGAATGAATGTTGTATCAGAAATAAATGAAGACCTTTAGACCTGATGACTGAAGAAATATTTTAGAAATAGTAGCCCTTGACGACAAGAATCGCTTTCAATTTTATTTGTGTGGAAATAAAATATCAAAATATAAGTCTAAAGTTCAAATTAATTACAACAACTCAATATAACCATTTTCGTCACGCATTTACACAATGTGTGATTTGATAATTTGCCAAGAACTGATTTTGTCCAGATTTCGATAAAAATATTCATAGATTAACGTTTAGAGCCTACTACTTTCATTTGTAGCAGGGAAATATGAATAACATCGATCCCGACAACTTTCACCGTTTCTAATAATTATTGTTAACGTTTTAATAAAGATATTTGCATACCCACATAACTATATATGTATGAATGAATGTTTATTTCGGTTCACATCGACAAACAGAACTAGATTTTTCTCTATAAAACATGTCATGCAATCGACGTGTATCTGAGTGTGTGTGTGTGTGCGCGCTCGCGTATGTGGAAAACACATGCGATGAAAAGAAAGGTGTTAATTGGTAGGGTTTTGTTGGTTTGGCATCACAAGAATGGCCCAAATTGTTGAACTATGTTGGTGCTTTAAACTGGATCAGTGGAATACAGCAGCTCAAGCTCATTTCTCCGCATTACAGTTAGCACTTGTACTGCGTTTTTCGTCGGCTTCACTCGTCACATACACTGGCTGCGATTGCTCTAATTGGCCAAACATGATAATACCAATATAGAGGGGGCACATAGATCACACTACCATGTCCCAGTTATTGCTCGCCTCTATTTATCATAACTTCTTTCGGTTTACCAAATCTTCCGAATTTCACACATTGTTGTGTTGAAGGCAGAGAAAAGAAAAAGAAATGACCAAGAATTTTACTTGACTTCGCAGAGAAATTTCCAAATAGTCTGAAAATTGTAACGAAACAATACGGCACGAGCCGCTTGTTCTGTTGTGTGAAGAAGAACTGAAATTAATTCAATCAAAATCGAAGTTATTTTTATAAAACATTTACGAAACAAATAATTAAAATTCTTCAAGACAAAACGAAACAACATTTTGCAATATGGGCAATTGCAAACAATTTTTTACATCAAAAGGAGCTGGCCAATGGTTTTTGTGGTCTATAACGTTGATATTCATTACTGCCTTGTGTACCTTTACCATTTTGGAAGTGAAATCTTTGGAGGATGAGGAACCCTCTGTGATACGAATTATTCTGAATACCATAACGCAAAAAAGCGCCAAGACAAATGGAGATAATTTGCCGACAAATAACCAATTTGTTTTGGTTAATGTGGAGAGTGTGCAAGGCAACAAAGCCATAGTGACACAAGAAGAAGGAGAAGAAGTAGGTGAAGACAATACAACTGGAGAATTGGAAAGAAAAGTGCGAGATACTGAGGGGAATACGCCAGCGAATGTGAATAAAACCAATAACTCATACTATGAGGAACAAACACCAGTTTTGGTGTATTCCAAGACAGACCAAGAGCCGCCATTGTCCTATAGACAGTCTGCCCCAACACCTTTTGAACACGGTTCACACGAAGAGCAACCGTACTATGATGATTCAGTTAATGACGACCATGGTTATTATAGACCACAATACGATGATGACTCCAGGGAAGATTTTCCAGGTCCCCAGGATTATCCAACTGATGCATATTCAGATCAGGGTAGATCGTCACAAAATCAACCATATGATTCCTATTATAGACAATGGCATTATGCAACACCATCACCAGTGTCATCAGCATCCAGTAGCAGTGTGATGGCTACCCAGAGTTCACAAGGAAATCGTAAATTACAAACAATGACATCGGCACCTAATGCAGGTGACAAGCACAGGTAAGTGTTTTTGTGATTACACTAAATGCTGCTTATATTAAACGAACAGAAAATGACTGTGTATGTATGTACAACATTTTCAATATAAAAGAAAATAGTCTTGTATATTTTAAGTTTTTTTACTAAAGTATTATAGTATTGTGTTATGGCCATCTTTGTGGAATCCATATTCTGCATATGTTATTGCACTTTAAAGGATTTTTTGAAAATATGTCACAGTGTTGCGTTTCAAATCATTAGTACATGAAAAATTGTGTCAAAGATTTAAAATGACTAAACTAATGAGGAAATATGCTAAATGTGGATCTATGCATTGCCAATTTAGTACGATGACTATTCTAAATACCAAGAATTTTAAAAGCTAAATTAATGCCAAAATTTGGCAAGCACATTAACATTCCGTACAAAGGGAAGATTTTAAATTAAAAATACTAAGTATGGAGATACCAGATATCTTGTCAACTCCTATACACATTTATTATTACAAACTAAAATGTCAGATTATAAATCGCTTTACTGCTGTTGCTTTGTAAGCGTAATAATGCATTCAATAAGCTTTTAAAGTGAAACAATTGTTGTTGACATTGTTGGTGTGTTAGCTTGTTTCCTCTCGTAAACGTCGCTTTTTTTGCGTGTGTGTGTGTGTGCATATATAAATACAGCATACTGTTGGGTATACCCCCATTTACCTTCTAACTAACTTAACAACATACAAAGTTTGACTTTACAAAACTTACAATCACCCACACCACCGGCATCTAATGTTTTCTACACAGGGGAGTTTGTTTGGGTGTTTGTGTGTTGTGTGTGTGTCGTGGCATAACCACGGACAAGTTGCATTTAAAGAGCTAAAAGCAATAACAAAAGCAGGTTATGAATTCTGAGTATTTAATTTCCGCAACAGCAAAACTTATTTGTGATGGAAAATATGATTAATGTCTTAGAAAAATCACTGCGACTAGCTAAAGATGAAAAATCGAGATTTATACCGGAGTTTAAGCAGGATGTAAACTAACAAACGCTTATTTTTCCTCGACAAGAAATGAAATATATTCGCAGCATGTTCGATGATAAAGTTTCATTGTTGCTTGATGCATTTAGCAGGAAATACATTTTGAGAAGAAGAAACAAAACAAAACTTTGGGAAATTTGGTTAAGAATAGCTAAAGTTATATAGAAAAAATAATTGTGTCAGGGTTAAACAAGGTTTCCATAGATATGTCAGAGGACTTACCTGGTAAATGTAGGATCTGCAAAAGAAAAATACATTAAATTTTAAAATACAGTTTGTTAATTACAAGGTGGTATATGGTAAATAGTTTCAAATATTTTACAGAATTGAAAATGTTATAGGCAGAGAATTTTTTTCTACCTTACATTATTGTACCATGGTTAAAAGAAGGATTCATTGGCTTTCATTATTCATTCTTTAAGACTATTACTTTTTTTCAAATTTGTCTTCGTTATTAATTTAAAGAATATTGGGTTTTAAACCCAGTACATTTTATAAGCGAGTTTGTGGCTGAAATATTTTTTGAAGTTTTTTATTCGTACAGAAAGCGCCACAGAAAGCGTACAAACACGGTGTTTTGCAATCGATATCCATTTTTACAAAAACTATAATTGGGATTGTTGTGGTTTTTTGCAATTCAAACTCGGATGATATTTGGTCACATTCAAATCAATCCGAAAACCATTGTTGTATATTAAACTACAAAGGAGACCTCCCACGCAAATCAAAAATTCTTTCCATTAATTCATTTGTTATTCGTGAGCTTTTATTACAAACACACATTTACATATAATTAAAAGGAATAATATAACCACATGCCATGATCAAGACAAAGCAATTTTCTGTGGTTTTCAAAAAATAATAATTACAAACCAAGAAGAAAATTGAATAGAAATTACCTACACTGTGGATTATTTGAATAGGCTGAATACTTCAATATTTATATATAATGGCATTTCGCTATATGCCATTATATATAAATGGCATTTCGCAATTTAGAACATTTTATACATATTTTCTAGGTGTTTGACATATACGTATGAATTAGATTTATATGACAAACTATTTTATTTTCGACCCTAAAAGGTAAATCCCAGATGAGGCAGAAAATTATTCGTTAGTAGTAAAAATCCTGATATTTGGGCAACATAATTAATAATGAATAAATAAATGCAAACTGTATATAATTTTCCAACAAATTTCATAAACTCGACAGTAACACAAACTGTGGACGCATTCCGAAACGTCGAATCAAATTTTGTTAAAAATCATACTGTAGGATTTCTCCGATATGGGTTATAGAAATTCAAAGTATTTAACAAATAAAAATTACACAATTCATGAAAATAAAAAAGTTCGATAATTTAAAAAGAATATCTGTAACTATTATGGTATATCATAACATTATAAAGAAAGAAAATCTACAATTTTTAATTGGGCTTCAAAAGTACGGGCACCCCCACAAAAGCTCAAAATTTCAATACATATAAATCCGATTTGATCTAATATTTTCACAAATTTAATTTGATGCGAATTAAATAACCGATTTGATCAACATTAAACCCGAAACCTCTTTGATAAGAATATGTACCTTATATAAAGCGAATAACAAAACCTATGTGTACTTCCGAAGACCTTCGCAAGCCATAGACAGAGGTTATATCTCTGTCGGCAACACCGAACTTAGAAATGTGAAAATTTCACAATTTGAAAACGAATTAAACCTATTCATATGACCAGGAGTGCATTTAATATTTGGACGTGTATCAAAATGTACAATTATAAAGATGCTGTTGTTATTGTTGTTTCCTGATTGATTTTTTGCATTCCAGCTGAACAAAAAAAATCAAACTCATTAAAGTGTCAATCTTTGTTGATCCTTGGCAACATATAAACGTTGTTACATTTGAAATGTCATAAACATTCATTTTATGTTGAACACTTGCTGACATACGTACATATAAACATATGTATGTATGACTATGTATGTACGTACATTTGTCGGACAGAATGTCCAACTTGTCAATTGAATGTCGGCAACAACAAACAAATCAATGGGAAAAACTCTTCAAATTTGATATTTTTATTGTTTTCAAATGAAATGTGGAAATAAATGTGAATAAAAGAAAATAAATATAAACAAATGGTGAATATTCATTCTAGCATCTGACATTGATGATGGCTTTTGGAAACGAAAAAAATCAACAACAACAGTGAAATAAAATATGTATGTTATGTCAATACAATGTTCTTTTTTTTGTTGAAAATATATTTTAATGGCCATATTTTTGTATTACACATACAATGAAATATTTGATAAATACAATCGTATTTACATACTTACATTTCAAAAGGTGAAGTTGCTAAAGTATAATGTGAAGAATCCTAGAGGCGATATACAAATTTAGAACTAATTATAAAACTCAGCTTTGCTTTGTTCTGTGGAAGGATAACATTGGTCATGTGAAAAAGTTATTTCAATAACATTGTTGGTGTTGTAATATAGAAAACATTTTATATTCTCACACACCAATGTCCATCAACGTTCATATGTCCACTCTGTGTAAGTGAGTCCTTTTAATTTCCACATTTCACAAAATACAGAAAATGAAAATTTTCAAAACTTATAACATAAGTGCCGCTTATAATTGTTGAATTGTTCAACATAATTTATAATTGATTATTTAATGTTGACAAACAACAACAACAGCAACACAACAACATTTATTGTATTAAAATCACTTTCAGGTTTTCCAGTTTACATTACATTGGTTTGGTTAAAAGCAATTTGTTGCCCTCATTGTGACCACTCCTATGGAAAACATAGAATTTATGATTGCAATCATTCATAGACGTGTAAAGGGTTTATGTTTTACATTACCAAGGCTAATAAATATGTGAATGCGCACAAACACACACGCACAGAAATGCACACACACATACATACCATACAATCGTATTCAGCCACATAGAGTGTGGTTTCAATTAACAATAAAATACAATTAAATGATTTGAATTGTATAGCACCACCGCTCTAATATGAAAACAAAAACAAAGGAGACAGCAGCAGCAACAACAATAACTACAATGGCAATGGTTGAAAATAATGAAAATCTAAATACATTTGAAAAACCACAAAGACATACTAAAACAAACTATGACAACCAAAAAACTGTGTGTTCATTATATTGACACAGTGTAAAAAAAGGATTATATTTCCTACAGGAAACGTGTAATTTTGCACTCTGGGTTCTTGGTTGGCAAACAAAATAGTTTGGGAAATATATATATATATATGTATATATTAAACCAAATATAATCATTTTTCTTTTTCGTAAAAACTACAAAAAATCTCGAATATCAGTTTTAAAAACCCCGTCCGACTTGGCCAAAATTTTATATTTTGTCAACTAATCTCCAACTAATCTGGTCCACTGTGCCAATAAATACGTCACAATTGCATGAGTGAATATACTGCAATGTTTTTCCTCATATGTATGTATAAATGTAAGTCTGTGTGTATGTTTGCGTGAATTTTGTTAGTGCGACAAACAACACATCGATTGGTTGTTGGTAAAATATCCTATTTAAAGTATTGCATTTCAAATGAGGCCACATATACACACATACATACTCAATGAATGAAAATGGTTACGAAAAGCCTCTAATTTACTGAAAAATAAATAGTATGTCATTATTGAAAAAACAGTTCTCTAGTATTATATAGAGAAAATTTCAAGTATTGAATAAAACCGCTGATATGGAAGATATTAAAATGCGGAAAGGAATAATAGGAAATATTTTTCAGAATATCGTTGTTATGGCGTAGAGGAGATACAACTAGTTTCAAGAATTAATAAAGTGGTCTATACAAATCTTTAAATTGCTATTTTCAATTTGCTGATTTTGATGGAGGAAGTCCATTTTTCCCGAGTTAAGGACCTCTGTACTTCCGGAATTCATATGGCCATAACTTCGTCATTTATGG